TGCTATCGATGACAATATGAGCCATTCGACTCAATGTTGTTCGATGATGGCAGAACCACTATTTTCCTTCTGTCAGCTAGAACCACCGCTGATAGCGCCTTTTATTCTGGAATCAACTCCCAGGTTCGGTCACCCTGTCTCACTACCAAGCCCCGCAGCACTTGATTTCGTCTTCGTCTTATAAACCGGATTTTGATTTTCCTGATTGTTACGTAATTTCCGCGCGACCCCGCGCCCCACCAATTTGTAGAATTTTTCCAGGATTTTCGCAAGTACCCACATACTATGGATCCGTCTGTCGGAACTCGTATAGTGTCTCGCGTGTCCTATCGAAAAGTGATGTATTATATGGACTTAGTCGTGTCTTGTCACAATTATCAGCAAAAAGCGAATCCGCCATACCGTTTTGCTCCCAGAAGTTGCTAGTGAACGATTTCTCGCTCTTTTCCCTCGAATTAACAGGTATCCACCTCGGTACGAACTAGTGATATGCCCTCACCTGTTTTAGCGACAAAAGTTCTTCAAAATGATTACTCACAACAGTTGTACATAGGATCATTTTGTCTCTTTTTCTTGGATGTGGATTGCGGCTGACCTTTATGCGGAAGGTTTCTTTCGGCTCAATGATACCAAACACCGGTCGAAATCTACAAAGATTAGTAGGCAATAGAAATTTCAAAGTTCGAATAGAGAGAAAGGTGACTGTTCACTCACAAGAACAATGTATTGTCGGTGCATTGGACTTTGAATCCTATTCTTACAGGCATTGCACTTGTAATTCGCAAATTCTGCAAGTACTAGCAATGCAAAATATCCCGGGAATATGAAAGAAGTCGACCAAGCCTCTGGGGGGTGGAGCATGTTCGAGTTCCAACCAGAAATAAAAGAATGCGAATGAGAAGAGTCAACCCAGGAAAATAGAAGGGCACAGAAGGAGCGGCATGTATGGAATTTTCATTAAGACCGTCAGCATACTCCTAGTTCTACTTCTTTTCTGGTTGAGAAAATCGACCTGAGAAAGGAAAAATTTTTGTGGAGCTTAATGCGAAATAATTCGCCTCGTATTGGGATCCAGATTGTCTGACCCACATTGTGGTGAGCACCACACAGTAGCTGACCAAGAAACGGCTTAAAGTTCCTGGGGGCTTTTAGATGGAGAACTGCGCGTACTAAATGAGCCCGTAATGCTGATTTAAAAATGGAACGCAAAAGTGCCATCTATACAGTGGGGCAATAATGAAAGGCATTCTTCTTCGACTTTCAAGGTGCTGTAAGTCACACTTTATCAAATTCTGATTGAACGTTTTCACCATCAAATTCACAACACATTGTACACTATCACGATACTCCGCCACAGCCTTCTGGACGAAGGCCATCGAGAGATTCTGCCACGCGACCGTGATTCGGTGCCTGAGTTCAGCGAGATCGTTGATTTCTCCGCCACTGTAGACCACCTTTTGAGCCCGGTAGTCCACCCGAACCCGGTAATCGAGGGACTTTGGATCAGGTGACCTACTTGGATATTCCATCTTCTTTAGGTACTCAGCCCCCTTCCATTCCAAGTAGGCGAGTTTTCCAACGCCCTTCGATTCCACGTGGCTGGCACCCAATCCTGTAGCAGTACGAAGTTTCCAAGATGGTACAGGCGACGGCAGGAGGGAAGGATGTTTTCCTCGAATTGGCCGGTGACCGTCAGCGTTCACTTTCAGTCCGGGGTCCACGAAGAAAATATCGGTCTTTCCATTCCAGGAACTTCCGGTCCATACCATCAACCCGCGCCTTGGCGACTGCGGTGAAGATGATATCCTGGACCGTAGCGACGTTGTCGGAGCTGCTCGATGTTGGAGGTCTTCCAGATCAAGAGTGCCGTCCCAGGTAGCTATCCATGGGTGACTCCATACAAGAAGTTTCGCAGCTGTTTGGAGGTGACGTGAATTCCATAGGCCTTCTCCAGTCAGGCTGCGATGGAGATGGCTTCATTTGGTGTACATGAAGGTGATGGATGAGGCCTATCCTGCTTATCGAGGAACATCTTGGGTATCTTCCGCCCTGGTACTCGTGTCCACGTCTTCCATCTGGGCTGCGAAAATTTTACTGATACTCGGCCGCAGTGCCGTTTTTCGCCTTCCCCCTGTGTGTGCTGGGACGGCCACTATAAAGTTGGTCTCTCTCTCTCTC